ATATTTTTGCAGTAATTATTACCGTAAAGTCACTGAATCATTCAAATTTAATCATTATTACAGCAACAAGCACGGCATAATATTTTATGGTAACATGCGTTTTAAGGATATTGCACCAAAAATGCAAATACTATGTACCGTAATTTTATCAGAAATGTTTCATTGCAGAAACAATGTTATTTGTCTTACAGGGAAAACATATTATGATTTATTTAATAAAAAACAAAGTTATAAAAGTTATAAAGTTATAAAAAGTTTACCAGCTAATAGAGACATTTTATATTATTTAATTATAATAACTATCACCTAGTTATCTAGTCCAACCACTTTTCGTCAAAAACGACGTTTGTTTTTTTTTCTTTTTCAAAAATATTTTCCGACGTAAAATTTCAAATTTTTGATTAAAAAAAAAGACACCAAAAATTAGTGTTTACAGGAATATCCGACAGATTCCTTAATACAACTGTGTTTCTTTAAAAACAAATAATATTTGTAATTTAAGGGTATTTTCAGCTGTATTTGCATTTAGAAACATTTGGATCTGGCTTGGATTGCATTTTCTTTAATACTTTGACGATGTATCCAAAAGTAGTCACTGCAAAGTTAATTTGTGTTAGGTAATCTATTTAAAACGACTGGAATCAGACACAGGAATCAGACACAGGAATTTATTGGACATCTAAATAATATGATTAAAAGAAAAAAAAAATATCCAAAGATTACATTTTCTAATAAGTTCCCTACCTTTTCTTTGTAAGAGGGAAAAAAAATTCTTACTAGATAAAAACAACTTTTATGAAAAAGAATAGAAACATTACATTAGAAACAACATTTAAATAAAAAACAAAGGATATGATTATTCAGTTAAATTTTGTTTTTAATAAGGCATTAAAAAACCTAATTTTTTTACTTTTTTACATTTAAATTATTTTTATGCCTGCTTCCACCAAAATTAAAAAGTAGAATCATGTTGTTATTTTAGTCCAGTTTAAATATATCTTTTCATACAATGGGGTATTTTAGCAAAAACCTCGAAAGGTACTTAATCGGTATTTTAAAGTACGTCTGATGAATATTTACCTGTCAGGATACTCATGTAAATATAAATTTACATGGCTCAGTTTTGTCCCGGAATACAATTTTCTAGCCCTGTATATTCCTTAAAGCGAAGTTAAATATGTCGTGTCAACAACAACAAAAAAAACTTTAATCTATTTTTGCACTTCCTTTGAAACATAATTAAAATAAAAGAAATTTATTGTAATTTTCCTGACTTCGAAAAATAACATTAAGCATTTTAAATTATTTCCGAAAGTCTTCAGTTTTTCAAAAAAAAAATTAATAAATTAAAAACCAGACATTAAGTTTTAAAATTTCAAGATTTTTTTTAAAAATTATGCATGGTAATTAATTTCAGTTACATATTTTTTCCTACATTACAATCTAAAAACAATAACGTGTAATATGCTATTGCGAAGTGTTGCGGTATGTATTCTAACAAACGCATCACACATTTTAAAATATTTTTGTAAAATTTAAGATTGAAAAATTACCTCGAAAGTAATAATCTCAGGGATTACTTGAGGCACATTTTTCTCAATCCTTAGTGTTTATAATCACTTACTGAATAATAATGGTCTCTAATATTAAGCCTATTTGGTGCTTGCAAATATGAGGCACACTATTAATTTTCTAGAGTTTATTTATGTGTATTTTAAGTTTTTTTCCCTTCCAGTACCTTGATGGGATAATTTGCTTCCATAGTTAATTCTTCATCTATTTGCCATAAAAATTATAAATTTTGAGTACTCAAACCATAACTTGTCCCAATCTCAATTTTTTGTAAATTTGAATATCGCATAGTTTTTTTCATTTGCAAAAGTGATGACATGAACAAAAATTAATTATAGCACTCATTCACACTGTGGTTTAAAGAGCCATGGCTATTTTACTCTGTACCAATTCTCATTTGAATTTACTCAGTAGTTACTTTTATTTTGTGCTTAAATTACAAGGAATTTTACCGAAACAAAATTACAGACTCAATGCAAATTTAGCGTAGTCAAATTGACCTTACCAACAATTCCACCACATTTCAGTATCTGTAGAATTATGATAACGCTTCTCTGGGGAAGATTATCCTTACATTTAGGTAAATGAAATTAAATATTTCAAGCATTATATTTGAATTTATATTTGTATTTTCAACATATAAATTTGCTTTATGTACATTTGACTTTCATGTATTCAAATTTATATTATGTATTCTCAAAATTATCTAAACCATTGTAAGTTTAGATAAATTGAACAAAGCATGTTTTTCCCCTTAATTTTGCATTTTCAATAATAACTGTAAAGTTAAATTTGTTTTGAATGTCTGCGTCTAGAGACCCTGCTTCCTTTTACGTTTAAGACATCTGATTTATGGCTCATATGGCTAACATTACACTCTAAAAGATACATTTAATCAGTGTCAGTTGAATTATTTAAACGATAAAAATGTAAATAATAATGCACCACCTTCTAAACTTCTCTTTCGATTCTCGTTTATTTATTGTTGTGACTTCGATTTTTTTGTACTATATAAATAACTAAGCATTTAAAATATTTACAACTATTCATTAGAACACTGGCTTTGAAATTATATTAAGATGTATTGTTATAATAGCTCTTATTGAAGCATTGTTACTAAAAAAAGGATTTTGTTTAACCAAAGCAACAAAGTATTAAAAATACTTTATTTCTCATTCGTATTTGAACTCATGTAAGTGATTAGCGTTTATTTGATAATTTTCTTGCTAATTCCCAAAATGAGTGAACTTTATCTTTTTGCTTTGTTAAACAACTGGAAAAAAAGGGTTAAGGGAACATCCTAGACCTTTTCGTAAGTATAAAAATTGTATATTTTGCGTTTTTGTAATTTGAAATATATTTTTATAAGTATCAGGAAAAGGATCAATTTAAGTCCTGTTGGAAATAGTTCACATTCGTTGAATATAGAGAAGATGATTATATTGTTTTGTGTGAGAAAATATTTTAATTTATGTAAATTGTATTTCTTTTTAAACTGAAGAATGCTTCGTTATTATACCGTTTCGAGTGCCATAAAAGCCGGTTTCCACACTATCTATAATATGTTTCTATGTTAGATTAATACGAACCTATCATAACAATCTAAGTATTTACTTAGTCATTAATTAAGCATAATCGGTATTAATAATAGTAAGGCGATATTTTTGAGGCCCCGAAAATAAAATAATACTAGTATTTCTAAATTGTTTATTCGCAACGCATTTAAATTATTATACATTAAATAAAGAATTTTTTTTGGTGAACCGAAGTTTTAAGACAAAACTAAAGTCATCAATATGATGTTTAGAAAGAAAATGTTGTTGTATGTGCTTTCATAAAAAAGTTTCTTTACTTTTGAATAAATTCATATAAATTACTACGTTTTGTTATGTGTTTCATTCTCAAACTATACTATAATATTATAAATAACTATAATATAAATAAATAATAAGTTAAAAACTATAGTAAATAGTTTTTTTATAAAAATAGCTAGGTTATTCAGTTACTATTATTCCATTTGCGTTTGAAACTTTAGTTACAATTATTCAGTCTGTGGTTGATTATCCAGTTATTATATGTTTAATAATCTTGAAAAACGCTTGTTACCCAAATTTAAATTTAGTCAGAAATGAGCTTAACTAAAATTTAATTATTAATCTATTTTTAGCGCCTGGATTTCTAGCAGAGGACACCAGCAGTAGTTCATCTGAAACAGATGGGTAAGTATTTGATTTAGATTGAGAAACACTGTAATTTCTTTTGGGGGGAAAATTGTAATTTTTAAACGTTTAAGACATAATTAAATAAAGAAACATAGGAGTAAATAAATGAAAAGCAAATAAATCAATAAAAAACAAATAAATAAATAAAAGCAAATAAATAAATAAAAAACAAATAAATAAATAAAAAACAAATAAATAGAGAAAAAAATATATTTTGCAAGAAGTGCAAAGGAACTGTCGTATTTAAATAATTTAGATTAAATATAATTATTGGAAAAAATATTACATTGGATTTTGTACTCAGAACATCTAATATGGAAAGAAAATATAAAATGTGAATATTTATATAATATGTGTATATNGTTTTTTCTATAAAAAGAGCTAGGCTATTCAGTTACTATTATTCCATTTGTGTTTGAAACTTTAGTTACAGTTATTTAGTTTGTGGATGATTATCCAGTTGCTATGTGTTTAATAATCATAAAAAATTTTTGTTACACAAATTTAAATTTAGTCAAAAATAAGCTTAATTAAAATTCAATTAATAATCTATTTTTAGCTCCTGGATTTCTTGCCGAGGACACCAGCAGTAGTTCATCTGAAACAGATGGGTAAGTATTTGATTTAGATTGAGAAATAGTGTAATTTCCTTTGGGAGAAAAATGGTAATTTTTTAAGTGTTTAAGACATAATTAAATAAAAAACATAGGAATAAATAAATAAAAAACAAATAAATAAATAAAAAACAAACAAATAAATAAAAAACAAATAAATAGAGGAAAACATATATTTTGCAAGAAGTGCAAAGGAACTGTCGTATTTAAATAATTTAGATTAAATATAATTATTGGAAAAAATATTACATTGGATTTTGTACTCAGAACATCTAATATGGAAAGAAAATATAAAATGTGAATATTTATATAATATGTTAATATGAGAGTGAAAAATAAGATAAGAGTTGTTTTTAACAAAATTTATTTCATTAATATTAACTTAAACTTTACATTAAACTGGTCTTTATAATGGCTTAAATATGAGTTGAGCAAGAAACTGATGAAAGATGATCATCTTGAGATAGTTAAATATTCTGTCTATAAGTATCTGATCTATGAATATCTAATCTATAAATATCTAATCTATAAATATCTAATCTATAAATATCTAATCCATAAATATATTATTTTCCTTCTTTTTTCAGCTACGAAATGCTGGAGGTTGATGGTGAGATGGTTTGTGAGGAGTCAAATTTGACTTCTGATGAATATGAGGATGACACTGATGATAGGTACTATATATAGAGTTATTATCTTTAAGAGATCATAATATTTGTATTGTAAGCTACATTAAATATTCAAAATTTTTACTATTAAATGTGTTAAACAAAATCATGTCTCGAAATTGAAGTGCAACACTATAATGTGATAATTTCATATTTTACCTTTAGCGATGATATGGAAGAGCTGAGTGCTGAAATAGAGCATTCTGAGTCATCCACAACTGATGATGAGGAAGTTGAAATTTTGGATGGGTAATCTATTTAGTTTTTACTTCATTATTATTGCATTAATTATCGTTAGTGAGATTTTAAATATTTAGCAACTTTCTATATGATATATTAAATAGTATTTATGTTGCTACTTTTGAATGCTGATTTTCTTCGTGGAAAATTTAGAAAATGATTGTGTAGAATTCCTTTCAAGAAATGCAAATTGAAATAATTTAAGATAGTCAGAGTTTAATAATTTAAAGTAAATTTTACAACACTCATAAAGGTGATATTTAATTCTTATTTATAAAATGCATGCTATTATATGTTAAGCTTGACGTTTTAACTATGTAATATGGTAATTTTATTTTTTATCTTTAGGGATGACTTGGTAGAGTTGAGGGCTGAAATAGAGCCAAAAGAGTCATCTTTATCAGATGAAAATGTTGCTATAGTGGATAGGTACTTAAATAGTTTGAATATTATTGAGATTAAGTATTTTAGACAAAGTTTTATACACTTTGTAATTTTCAATTAATGCTACTTTTTTTACAAGTATACTTTCGTAACGAAATGAATAGAAATTATATATTTAGAATTTATTTAAAAAATACAACCTAAATGAATTTGTTCTAATCTGATCTAGATGAATTACAAAATATTAATATGCAGCACAAACGTACGAAGCCTGAACATGGTTAAAAAAATAATAACACTTTTACTTTTTGATAAGTAAATATTTCAATAAATACTGTAAAAAAGAATTTCTCAAAATTACTCCGAAAAAAATATAGTCGAATTGTAAAAAGCACGTATTCAAAATATTGGGTATAATATCATACTCAAAATTGAAACAGTGTGTATATTTATTTTGATGCTTCATAATAAAATGTCACATCCTCATCACATGGGACAAAATTTAAAATTTATTAGTTGATAACGATTAAATAATCGAAGAAAAAAATCTAATTTGATAAAGGTTTACTGCACTTACCTGCATTCTAAATTTATTTCACGAGTAAAAATTTTCTTTAGATTGGTAATCAACACTTTTCTATTTAACCGCCATGTTTATTTGCAAATGAAGATGGGTTCTAAGAGTTTTGAACATGTTTGAACATGTCACTATACATACAGTTTTCAATTTCAATTAGATATTCCTTGGAGCTATTCTATCACATTTTTTCACAAATTTGAGAAACGCATTTTAACAAGGAAGGCATTTGTTAATCTTGTGGTTATTATTCCATGCACTAATTTCTTTTTTTTTATTTTTAGCGAAAAAAGTGAGGAATGGCAGGCTGATATTCACCCGAAAGAGTCACATATGATTGTTGATCAAGATATTGTTGCTATGGATGGGTAATTAAAATCAGATTTTAATTTTTGCTGTCCGAAATTGTTATTTAAATTCTTGAAATTATTTTCTTCCATAAACTAATAACATACATTCTATTTCATTCATCTTCAAATAGATTGAATATTTTCAGCATCCCTTTTCACCAGTTTTTTGGTAAATAGTACTTTTAATCCAAAATGTAAAACTCGATTTTCTGCACTTATTTAGCTTTGCGCAAGCCATTCTTTCTTTCCAGAAATTCTCATACGTTTTATTTATTTATTGAATGCAATTCCTTTCAATGTAAATATATTTTTTATAAGAAAATGTATCATCAATTTATCAGCATTGTTATTCAAAATAGGGATTGTAACCACAATCTGAAAAACTTGGTCTAAATGGAGTAGTTTTGTTTTAATCAAAAGAGCGGTTGAGAGCTTTTGCACGTTAAAGTTAGTTTTACTTCTTGCAAATTTTGCTATCTCAAAGAGTCCACGTCTTTAAATTTTTATTTTTCAAGAGGTGTGCAATTAATTCTTTCAATTTTTGTGTGTTGTCTTTCAGCATTTCATAGATAAAATTTGGTTTAAAATTTTCTTTAAAAAAAAAAAAAAGCTTCAACCATTTGAGTTTTTAAAAAAATAATCATTGATTGCAAAGAATAATATTTTGCATATAATAACTTTTGAATAAACTGTCTAAAATTGTCACATTCCCTCTTATAAAAATAAAGGTTCCTATTTCGCCGCAAGAAATGCATGTGAATAAACATTTTAACATCTGATTCATGATTTTATAATTAATGCCTGCACAGGTACTTTAACATATTTGAGGAAAGTCACACAAATCTTTGCCTTCATGAAAATCTGATCTTCAAATATAAAGTTAATAAGGTGTTGAAGTTTTTATTTCTTATTTTTTAGCTAAAATCGCATAAAATGTAATATTATATAATTTTACTAATTTTTTTCTCTAATCTTAGTAGTGACAGATGTGGCCTTTATTACTTCGAGATTGATTCGAGGGAAAGGAAACTATTGGCCAATTCTAATAAAGTAACGGAATCACTAGATATTGTTGTTGGATTAAAAAGGTATATATTAATTACTATAGATCGTATTTAAATAAGTGCATTTCTTTTGATCTGAATTTAAATCACTAATATACTTTTCTATGTGCTTGAGAAGTATATTTTATAATTTATTTATTTAATTCCATGTATTCATTTTAAACAAGAAAAGTAGAATAAACTGGTAATACAAGCAAAAGCTTTGAATAATAAAATAAAATGCTCTGTGAGTGTAACATTAAAAAATTTTATGATTAGAGTAAGATACTTGAATGATTAAGAATAAGTTCAAGATTTGATTAAAATCTTTTGATTTTTGTTATTATTAGAAATAATGCAACGTTCTTTCTACAAATTCCTTGTCAAGCTCAATAGTTACCTCATTTATAAATAAAATTCTTTTTTTAGCAATATATGTTGAAAATATGTTAATTGCATGATTGAGAAATAATAATATAATGATTGATGTAAATTACATGTCTGATGCAAATTACATAAATAGCTTTTTTTAAATTGTTTAACAAAATGTATTTTATTTCTTACAGTTGTGGAGATGTTTCTCGTTTAACAAAAATTCTGGAGGAAAAATTGGCCCAAAACCCAGATTTTGCTGAGAAACGAGAAAAGGCCAAAAAGAAAGAGAGAAATATCCGTTACTTCGTGAGGCGCCTATTTACTGGGTGTTTCATACGGAAGTAATAAGTAACCCAAAACTAGACATTACCCAACTCAAGACTACCGATCTAAACCAAATTTCTCGATTTTGTGACTCCAAACGTATCCATTTCCTGACTTTGTGATTCCGAAAGTATGTAATTCCTGAGTATAGGACTTTTCCTGACTGAGACACTTCCCGACTGGGACAATTCTCGACTATGACATTTCCCGACAACGACAATTCCCGACTACGACAATTCCTGACTGTGACAATTCCCGACCGTGATATTACCCGAGTACGTAACTCAAAATCGAAGTATTTCCTGATTCAGGACCTCCTAAACTAGACAAAAAATTTCCGAATATGTGACTATAAAAGCACGCATTTCCTGGCAGTTTGTGACTCTTTCAAATACACATTTGATGATTGCGTGACTTTTCTCGACTGTGACAACGTTTACCGACTGTGTGACTTCAAAAGTGGGTAAAGTTACCAGAATTTTTCACTCTCGACTTAGACTACATTGTCCAATTGTGAGAAACTTAATAGAGACAATGCACAAATGTGTGACTATTAAATTTCCCAACAAGGTGACTCCTAAACTAGACATAACTCGGAATTTTATGACTCCAAAAGTATCCATTTCTTGACTTGGTAATTCTAAATGAATGCGATCTTCGACTGTGACTTTTTGCGACTGTGACATTTACCGACTGTGACAATACCAGACTATGATATTTCCCGACTGTATATATTTTTCAATGGTGTGACTAAAAACTAGATATTACCCGACTGAAAACTCTCTTAAAATATACGAAGTTAAAACTTATTTTATATGCATGTAAAATTAACGTAAAGTACAATAAATTGAACATGTTTAAAGCTGTGTTATGTTTTATTGCTCTTCATTTTTAGAATTATTGAATTTATTTATATTAAAAATGTATGTTACTGCTACGCGTACTAAAATAATTTAATAAGTCGAACAGATTTTCTTTAACCTCTGAGACTTGTCCGATTACTCGCTAACACCAGAAATTACGAACGTAGTTCAATTTATTTCAGTTAGGTAATTCTAATAATACTTCTTGCCTCAAGTTTGTTTATGAAATGTACTACAATATATTTCGTAGCTGATTTTAAATAGTTTTTCCTACCTGCTTTGTTCGTTGATTCTCAGAACTGCTTGTTGAGTTCTTGATAATAGATAACTTGTTCCCTTTATCTGTATTATCAGTAACATGAGGGAGTACCAATTGATTGACCAAAAATCAAGTTACTGTAATGAAGTTGCCAAGTTGCTGTAGTTGTGCGGCTTGAGATTTTTTTAAAATTTTTTTTGGATGTTGTGGTGACAGTTGTTTAAAATATATACATTCAAGCAACCTCTCAGTAGAAATACAATAAATTCAAACAACTTGCTCCACTTTATCTCTGAAATTGCATAATCTGAAGAAGCCTTTTTTCTTTCGACGCACCTCAACTGTTAAATTTTGTTTTGTTGTTTTCGCTTATGACTTGATACTCGTATTTCACAAATACACACGCATAAAAATCTATGAACTTTTTCTTTTCGAATATGAACCATTAAAGATTGACTTAGATTCGTGATTTCTAACGTGGCAAAAAACATCTCTTAGTAACATTGTAAGAAGTCATGACTGAGGAACTGAACTGTCGTTGCGAAGATCTTGACTTCGATCTCTAATGGCTGATTGCAATAAGCTTAGATTGCTATCGTAAGAGATTGTCAATCCAAGTCAAAATTTTTGATGGTTTTTCATTGATGGACCAATATAATCTTGATGGTAACCATCAATAATTCCATCATAAACCATTATATTTTTTGATAAGTAACCATCACCTCAATGTAGGAATTCGGACTGATTTATGTTAGCCCAACATAAGAATAGCAATTTGTTTTGGTGGTTTGTTCGTGTTGAACCTTCAGAAATTTCCATCATAGTTTCTTAGAAATCAAATGTTGGAACGATCATGAGCTACCATCAGCCCAGTATAAAAATTCGGACTACTTTTTGATGGGACAACATAATAATATTGTTTTGATGGTATATTCCTGCTGAACCAACAAGAATTTTTATTAAACCATCATGGAAATGCATTGTTGCACCATTAAAGATCATGACGAATTTCCATTACAGTTTCTTAGAAATCAAATGCTAGAACGATCATGAACAGCCATCATCCCAATGTAGAAATTTGGACTAATTTATGATGGTCCAAAATAAAAAAAAAAAACAAATTGCTATGAAGGTATAGGGGAGAGTGGGGTCAATTGTAACATTTTTTACTTAACTATTTTTAACTAACAAAACATCCAATATATTATTAGTATTAATTGACAGGCGAGTAAAGTTGACTATCCTCTGCTAGAAAAAAAATAAATACCTTATTTTAAATGTTATTATATTAGTTATTAACAATATGTGACAGTCGTGCACTTGTTACAGTTGTCCCCACTTACGGGGTCAATTGTAACAGTTCATAAATTCAACTAAAACATAGTTAATTATACATATTATCATAGTTGTGATATATTTTTCTATTGATCAAATTAGTAGTGATATTTTAGGAGTAAAAATAATAATGAGCAGAGACCTAAAGGATTAAACTTTTAACTTTGAGGGGTTAAAAATTTTAATTTATTCTGTGAAAGGTGACAAAAAAATAATACACATGCAACATAATGTAAATGATATAGGAAACTATTGGTGGTTCCTAAAGAGTTAAGTAATGGTTTGTAAACATAAGATTATTTATTTTCAGCTGTTACAATCGTCCCNCCTACTTTTGGTGAAAACCTTCTGCTGATATTTAGAGCTAGTGAAAATACCAAAATATGGTAAAATTGAGCTCCCTTTTATGTAGCCAGCAAAGGAATGCCGATTTTCGGTGCGACGTGGCTCGGAATATTAAGCAGAGTATCAAGAATACAATAAATCATCAGATGCCGCATGCAGTTGAATTCTTCGATAAAAGTTTAATTTCAACAATGATAAAATCATTTCCACACTTGTTGTATCAGCACTGGAATCCTGTTTCATTCACATGAATGCCGATTCCCAACTTTCTCATCACTCCTTCGTAGCGTGTGGAAATGCATTTTACCCTGACGTATCACCCTTTGGCCGCCTCGGGCTTTCTAGTTTGTTTGTTTTTTTAAATCATTTTTCTCCCTTTTTCACTAAAAACTTTACGCTTTCTGTTTCAAATCACTTTTATTTTCCTCATTTACGTCAGGCAAGTCTTGAGAATGGGTGCTTATTTTTGAGCTCTAGAAACATGTCGACTTCTACCATCTTCATATTTTTTTAAAAGTCAATAAAGTTATTTTCAATCCACTACACTTTCCAGCTTTAGTTTCTTGGGTTTATTTATTTAATATTTCAAAAATTATTTGTACCAAATCATTCGATTATAATCGAAGTGACCAAACTATCGATTCATAAGAAAACTACTAAGAACAAACACCATCATGCAGTTTATTTACAAGTGTTTTAAAATTCAAATAAAAGTTTAAGCTTCCATTAGAAATAAGTAGAGTCTAGTTTGGGAGCAGAGAAATTATATATTAATGTTACGTATAGTACATTTATTTTTTATATATTCATAAAAGACCACACTTAATATGTATTTCTAGAATAATTATGAAAAATAAAAACAAAAATGTAGGCAGGTCACAGTCATAAACAAAAAAAATAGGTTTACACTGGCCACACTACGCCCCTCCTCAAGCTTTCATACAAAAAAAAATAATTTTTTTTTTGGATGTTGTGGTGACAGTTGCTTAAGAACATAAAAATTGTAGATATATACATTTAAGCAACCTCTCAGTAGAAATGCAATAAATTCAAACAACTTGCTCCACTTTATCTTTGAAATTGCGTAATCTGAAGAAGCCTTTTTTCTTTCAACGCACCTCAACTGTTAAATTTTGTTTTGTTGTTTTCGCTTATGACTTGATACTCGTATTTTACAAATACACACGCATAAAAATCAATAATCTTTTTCTTTTCGAATATGAACTATTAAAGATTAACTTAGCCTCGTGATTTCTAAAGTGGCAAAAAACATCACTTGGTAACATTGTAAGAAGTCATGATGGCTGAGTGGCTAAGGCACTGAACTGTAGTTGCGAAGAGCTTGGCTTCGATCTCCAATGGCTGATTGCAATAAGCTTAGATTGCTATAGTAAGAGTTTCTCAACCCAAGTCAAAATATTTGATGGTTTTCTTCATTGATGGACCAACATAATCTTGATGGTAATTCCATCATGAACCATTATATTTTTTGATAAGTAACCATCACCCCAATGTAGGAATTTGGACTGATTTATGTTAGCCCAACATAAGAATAGCAATTTGTTTTGGTGGTTTGTTTATGTTAAACCATCAGAAATTCCCATCATAGTTTCTTAGAAATCAAATGTTGGAACAATCATGAGCCACCATCATCCCAGTGTAAAAATTCGGACTGATTTTTCATGGGCCAACATAAAAATATTGTTTTGATGGTATATTATTGCTGAATCAGCAAGAATTTTTATTAAACCATCATGGAAATGCATTGTTGTACCATTAAAGATCACGACGAATTTCCATCATGGTATCTTAGAAATCAAATGCTAGAACGACCATGAACAGCCATCATCCCAATGTAGAAATTCGGACTAATTTATGATGGTCCAAAATAAAAAAAAACAAAAAAAAACAAATTGCTTTGAAGGTATACTCCACAAAAATTCCCATTAAACTGTCATGAAAATGTATAGTTGGAACCATCATGAATTCTTGGTTCATGAGAATCAAACTTCTCTTGATGATTAACCATCATAGTATTAAGGTAGTATTTGCCATCATGGAATGATGGAAGCTTGTTGGCATATCAAAAACCATCAACGCATAATGGAAAGTGCTGGATGAGGGTGACCATCAAATGATTGTGAGCCACCATAAATCGCACTGAACGAAACGTAAACCATCAAAATGTTTTTATGGGACCATCAAGAATTTCGTCTTGGGCAGCTTTAACGTTAATATATTAGAAACATCAGTTTTGAGTATTTTTTGAATGATTAAAAACTAGGCATATGCAAAGAAGCTCTCGAATATGACTTAAAAAATAAGAATGTACAAATTCAGTTTAAAAGCTTTATTTGTAAAAATTGCATTAAGGGTAAAATATTATTAAATGTGTTACACATTAACATTTCACATTCACATAAAACATAGAGTATTTACAAAAAGTAACAATTACAAAATGAAACATAAGGAAAAGTATCGAATTCAGAAATATTGGTAAATGGATCAAACAAATAAAAATTGATACCTTACTTTGACATTATTTTAGAAAAAAAAATATTTAATTCATAAGAGAAATAATGGCATTTGAAATATAAATGCAATGAAGTAATTTAAATTTTAAATACAGTGATATCAGTTTGCAATTAAAGGCTTATTACCCATTTAAAAGTTTACATGGTCAATAAAAATTTGGGTTTCTTATCATTAACAAAGAAAGTAATTTAATAATTAATGTTCTCAAAAGCTATACAATTTTAAACAATTTAAAGAATCGGAATTAAAAATAAATTTTATTTTAATTAAAGGATTATGTAGACTTTGCAAATAGAGTTATTTTATAATCGCATTTATTTAAGTAAAATTATATGTAAAATCAAGATAAATATAGGTTTTTCAATAGAAAAAAAATTAAAATTGATGAATTTTAAAAAGTTTTTACAGAAGAAACTAATCATTACCATGAATTTAAAATAACTCAAACATTTTTTTTTAAATTTCACAAACACAGAAAAAAAATTAAGAGCTAAATTTTCATTAACATGTTTGAGGCATGTTATATATATATAACATGCATGAGTTATATATAACAATATATGTGGCAGTGATAAGCATGTACATTTATCACATGTATATCTTAACATATCACTAAATATATGTTAAATGTTAATTAAATTATAATTTTTAAATATTTAGTTTAGCGATAAAAAATAAATCAGTTTTCAAGCAAAAAAAAAAAAAAATTCATAATACTTAGCTTACTTTTTCTTAACCTTTAAAAGTATTGTTAACTATGGTCAGAAAAGCTACCTTTTCTCTTTCAATCAAAGCTTTTAGTGTAATAATGAGAACTGACCTCACGTTTTGAAACATTTGATTTACTACACAATAAAATTCGCTAGAAAAAGCTGAACACGTTTTCTGAAAATTTTTAACCTTGCATTTGGTTGAAAATAATAACAATTATTAAAAACATTTTATGACAATTTTCTTCATTTTGTTTTTTTTAATAATAATTTCAACATTTGGAAACAGATGATACATTCAATAACTTTATGATAAAATGCATAGGGTTTTAATAAATTAACTTAGTAAGCAATCGATATAAAATTATAATATAAAAACAATTAAAAACTAATGCATTTGCACAGTTTTCATATTTCTTGTTATCTTATTTTTTAGTTCGTAATCATATTCATTATGATTAATTTTTTTTACTTGGCAACATTAATTTGGCGGTCCTTTATCTTGTCCTGGAGGTCCTCTTCCTTGTAAAGCAGTCATTATATCAGCACCTTGATAACTGCAGAGTTCGCAATATCCTGGTGGTCCTTGTGGTCCGGGAGGACCTCTTGTTCCTGGTATACCCTGTTTGCCAACTGGTCCTCTATCTCCAGGACGTCCTGGTTGTCCTACTCCTGGAGGCCCTGGAGGACCTGAAATATTAAGTTTATTTTATTTTATTGCAATATAATGATTTCTTTTTACATTTTAGGAGAATTTTTACCATACGAGCTCCTATACATACACGCCCTTTTAATTTCATGAATGCTATTTCGCGTTTCGTTCACGTACGTTTCGCAGTAGATAGTTTGATAGTAAGGAGTTACTGAGGATAAGGCTTTTCAATTTCGTGACCAACAATGTATAACAATGTAGTCAGAGTTATTGCAAACCGCCCACCTTTACTACAAGCACAAGATGGTAATCATTGATTCGAAGATTCAAGTCATCGCCGGAAGTAGAACCTAGTTCTTCATAATGACAGTTAAGTGCCTTAACCACTTTTTCGTTCCAGTTCATTGTTAGAGACTAATTATTTATTTGCTAATTAAAATTACAATTATATTATATTAAGAATTTATAATTAATTATTTACGCTTTTTTAATCAAAAAACCGGCTCTAGGTTACCAGTACTTTTTACCGTAAAACCTACTTTTACCGGAACTTCTTAGGAAACCAAAAAAATCTTTCATTTGAAATTTTTACCGTAATAATTACCGTAAAACCACTGAACTGAATAAATATTTCTGAAAAAATTATGGTTTTACGGGTGATGCACTAATCAGGATTTTTCTTTGAAATATAACAGCGAATAAAAAGCGTAACCTCTAACATATTGTAAATAAGATAAAAACTAGTAAAGTTATTTCTTGTCGAATTTGAAGGTTTTCTGCTAGAAGTATTTATTTTGCACTGAGTTTTTTCAGCTTCATGAAAACTATTAGCAGTACAATTATGATCTTTACCTGCTACGTATATCAGAAGCTGAGATATTACACCTCATTAATTAGTTTTCTCAATTAGTTTTAATGTAATTAAATAGTAAAGTTAAATTTTTTTAACTTTAAATTATCAATCAACTCTATCTTTATTTCTGGTCGATTTATCAGGAATTCTCTCAATGCATTTTAGACAGTGCGAAATGTTTTTTGCGAAGTATACTGATCTGAAAATGGCAACCGGAGAAGTTGCGAAGCTTGGGGATGAATAGTGGCAGTGAACTTAGCCTCTAATCTAATTAAAATGAGGAAAAAATAATTGGGCATTAAATAAAACTAACACGAAAAGTATTAACAAAGCAATCAGTTTCGGGGTTCGATGAGCGATAGCGAGCATTCCCCTAATATTTTGAAAAAATATATATAAAAAAACTGAGATAGCGAGAACAATAGAGTGCCCCTTGGAGTAGGTACTGCTACTGGGAGCTTTTCCAGTTTATAAAATCTTCCGTTTTCCTATGATTTCTATCGCAGTTTCTTGTCATTAAAAATCTCACTTTTAAGTCATTTTCATTGATTTTTTTTGTGAGAACATAAAAAATTGCCAAAACAAATGGGGGACCCTATTGTAAATTTTTACTAAGAACTGAAAGATTATTCATATGAATGCTGATTCTCTTGTTAACGACATTAGTTTCTCACCATTAATTTCTCTCCATTAGTTCCTCTATCGCGTGTGGAAATACATTTTAACCTAATTTTCCACCCTTGGACTCTAAGAATTTTCTTGTTCACAACTTTATTTTTCCATTTTTCGAGGGTAACTTCACATTTTATATTTCAAAACGCTATTGTTTCTTCTTAATCACGTCCGTTTAGCAAGTCTTGAGAATGGGTGTCTGTTTGTGAGCGCTTGAAACTGGTTGACTGTTATTTCGAGCGAATTTTTGAAGCGAATTAAATCAAGTAATATCTAACCACTTCAGTTTCTTGGGATTATTTGTGTAATTTAAAAGAATAAATATTGCATTGGTTTTAACATACCTGGCTGTCCTCTCAAGCCCATCGGACCTTCTATACCGACACCTTCTGGTCCTCTATTTCCTCGATCACCCTTCTCACCTGGAGAAGAAAAAGAATAAAAATAATGAGTTTTCAAATTTGTTGAGCTTTAAAAATAGCTGAAATGAGCTACAACCATTACTTTTATCTGACAGTACAAAGATGCGATAAATTGTTGCAGCCAAGTCATTAATTCCGTTGCGAAATCTCTACCTTCAAAATTAAGTTCATTGAGATCTCGAACAAAGCAACCTTTTTCTCGCTCTCTAAGGGCTTATAAATATTTATCTTCATTTAATTTTCTCCAGGATTAAGGAATATTGTTCGCTTGATGACTGAAGAAACAAAGGAAACTTTATCCTCCAGAAAAGTTCTGAAAATGGCAGTGATTTTTCATGAAAAGTCGATTAGACGAACGATGATTTATTCAACGCATTAGGCAAAGAGAATCTCAGTTTCAGAACTAATACGAAATCAACTAGAGCACAGAGGAAAGTTTTAATAGGTATTTAACGTTGTAATTAAGTTCTGATAATCCTCAGAATTTTTTTTCTTCTGAGGCAACTAATAGTGAGTTAAATAAGAGCGAAAAGTTCAGTGATTAAAACTGTTTATTTTGCTAGGTATTAAAAAGATATTCAGAATTGTAACTTTTTTTTCTAATTTTCATCGAAAAGTTTTAATACGTTTGCAAACAATCCTAGTAATTAATAGTAATGCATTTTTTATAGTATTTATTGCTTCCGGGTTATTTTTAAGCACTTGTTTTTTACTTAGTTAACACTTTGGTGACCGGTCACGAGTCATAGCAATCTTGTTAGCAATGATCTCGTGGGGATTATTTTAAAAGGTAGGCGTAATTTTCCTTATTTTTCAAGTTTTACTATTTAATTCTCTACCAATTTATTATACCTTTACGAAACCCGATATATTTGCAAAACTTGTGGTGTACCATTACACGTAGGTGATTGTTATACTTTTTATCATACTAAAAAGAAATATTAAGAGTTGAATNGAGTCATAGCAATCATGTAAGCAAGGATCTCGTGGTGATTATTTGAAAAAGTGGGCGTAATTTTCCTTATTTTTCAAGTTTTACTATTTAATTCTCTACCAATTTATTATACCTTTACGAAACCCGATATATTTGCAAAACTTGTGGTGTACCATTACATGTATGCGATTGTTATACTTTTTATCATACGAAAAAGAAATATTAAGAGTTGAATAATAAATAAAATTTTTAAAGTTTGTATATGAAGTTTATATATATATAAGTTTATATATATTATTTTACTTCCGCATCCGTTCCACAGAAAAGTAACTAAGCAAAAAACCAGCCCTTACAAATTACCCGGAAGAAATAAATACAATAAATTGGATTGTTTACTAAGAATGTTTGCAAACAAATTAAAACTTTTCTCAGAAAATTTTATAAAAAAGTTAAAAATTCAGAATTTCTTTTTAATGCTAATAAAATTAAACAGTATTAATCTCTAAACTTAATTTACATAACTAAGTAACTAACTTAATTTAATTAATTTTATTAATTAATTAACACACTGCTGGTGTATAAAAAGAATTATATTTAAGCAAATATAACAATAAAAGCAATCAAATTCTAACGAATCATTATCGATGTCACAGCAAAGGAATCATTTAAATAATCAAACGGTATTTTATTTCCAGAATTTTTCTAACAATAAATAAGCGTCATTTGACAATAAAAACTAGTATTATTGAAATCAAATGTACTTGTATAAACTTTAACTGTTATTGACGCAAAAATAATTAAGCGTTTTTTAAATTAAAATTTGAATAAAAATGTGATTGAGAAAATTGAAAAAAAAACAAAACAGCATTGACTTTCTTCAATGAGACAATAAAGAAAAAAAAAACCTTTTTGAAGAATATTTTAGGTGACAGAGGCTGAGGAAATTGAAATTAAATGTTTCTTTCTACAATGGTGTTATTGCAGTTAAAAAAAACTTATTAAAAGAATATTCTATTTGAAAATCATTTGTGGCAGAAATTAAAATAAAGTTACGATTTCTACAATAATCTGTTAATTAAATAGCTTATTAAGATATTATTTTATGTGCAGTCAACGGTTGAGAAATCTGAAATAAAGTGCTTATTTCTTCTTATATAATAATGATTAATAATTAATCTTTTATGATATAATAACTAAAGAACTTGCTAGAAGAATATTCTCACTGTTAAAAATTTTTCGGAAAAAATGGGTAAATAACACTTTATTTAATTGTTATTCTGCCAAACTAAACAGTGAAATAACCATAAATAAGACAGTAATCAAACTGTTAACATTGAGTAAAACCGCTTATTAACTGCTGTCACCTAATACGATTAAACAATCAGAATTTTATCGCACCAACTAAGTCTACCTGATGAAGTCACTTAGCTCCGTGCAACTGCTTACATATTATAGCCAAGAGGGCTAATCAGTTAGTAATTAAAAGTACGATCTGTGGATTAATAATGTGTGAATGGGTCCGCCCAATGACCGTTTGACGCCATATGGCTGTGTTGTGTGTGTGGCTGAGTCTTATTCTTGGCCATAGATGGCGCCACTTAAAAACAAGAAATGCACTCTCTGCCTCAAATTCGTCTGGTTTCACTAATCAGGCTTACTGTTATTGGCATGTGGCATTAGAAAAAACAACAGCATACTTAAAACGCTTATTGGAAAAATGATCTAGTTAACAATGTAGTAGGGATTGCGTTTTGCAGGGGTCTCTACATTTCTAGCCATTAAAGTTTAAGATAAAAAAATATTTAAATATGCAAGTATACTTTTTACTTATGTCATTAAGAATTCAACTACTTGAAAAAATATTCTTATTTTTAAATATAATTAATAAATTTTCAACTCAGCAGGATAATACAGCAATAGTAACTTTTCGGTTTTATGTTATTTTTCTCTGATTACTCAGACTAGTAAAAAATATTTGACTCTCTTCCTTATTATAAATATTTAATTTTCTTTAAATATAAATGGCTCTCTAAAGTTTTAGAAAAAAGATCCTTATTGTTCTGCAAGTTTCGGTTATGTATTAGAACTTTTTTACTTGCATGGACAAAAATCGAAAAATAAAACATTGAATGAACGTAAAAATGAAAGAAAAAAAGTTGAAATGCTAACTTTATTTTCAATTGGTATTTTTAAGCAAACCAAATTTTGAACAAAACATAATATTTTCTGTAATATATTATTGGAACGCGATTTTTTTTAATTAAAAGGGAGATGCTTATTATTATGCGAAATATCAAAAAAATACACTCAATTATGTTCAAGCTTTTAATACGTATTTAGAACAATGTGATTGTTGACTTATTATTAATGACATGTGCTCTAAATAATTTTGTTCAATATTTAAATTTTAAGGATCATTAAATTTTGGATATCAAAATTATTGCATCAAAACCAAAAACAATATGTAAATAAAAAATGAAGAGAATGGGAAGTACTTTTTCCGATTATATTTTCAATATGTTGATGTACTTAAATTTTTATTACTGGTGAATTTTTAATATTACTTTTTAGGGGATTGGCAAGTTTAAACATACAGTTTTTTGCTAATTAAATGATGTTTTGTTAATTTTGGTGATTAGTCCTATCCCCTTTTACCTTAGTTACAACAACTAGTGAGAGTTTATTGAACTAAGAATTATTAGCTTTAAAAGAAAAATAGTAACTGCTATAAAAAAGAAACATTTTCCTATTTAAACTGTCTTACGTATTAAAACGGTTAAGGTTAAAAAAAAAGTTCTAAATTTCTAACTTACAAGTTCTGAACTGTTTTACGTATTAAAACGGTTAAGGTTAAAAAAAAGTTCTAAACTTCTAACTTACAAATTCTGAACTGTCTTACATATTAAAATGGTTAAGGTTAAAAAAAAAGTTCTAAATTTCTAACTTACAAGTTCTGAACTGTCTTACGTATTAAATCGGTTAAAGTTAAAAAAAAGTTCTAAATTTCTAACTTACAAGTTCTTTCTGACGTTAAGGTCGAAACTTGTGCACTGTACAGGAAAAGTTTTTAACTCTCAAACGTTAGGTTTCAAATATTTTTATATCTTCAAAATTATTTATAACACTCAATAAGTAAACTTATATTCAAGAAATAATTTTATTTCTACTAGCAAGCATTATAATTAAATGGTCAGAAATTATCGCCAAAAAAGAGTATTTCCACTGATAGAGGGTATAATCACCAATTATAGACTAACTTCTATATTGAAAGCTCTCTTTGACGTTAAGTGCTAAACTTGTCCACAAATAAATGAAAACAAAGTCTTATAATATCAAATGTACGTTACATTCAGCTTAAAAATGTTTTCACGTCTTCAGAATTATTTATAACACTCTCTATGTAAACTTATGTAAAACAAATAATTTTATTTTTATCAGCATTATACATAAATTGCATGAATTTGTGGTGTAATCAACAAACTAGATTCAAGTACCAAAGTTAGGGACCTGTCGAACCTGTAAACTTTTATATATCATCAATGTATACTTTGTAATCTTCTTCCTGAAGTATAACGAACTGAACAGAATTTCAAGTGAATGAAATGTATATATATCATCGTAAAAGTTTGTTTCTACTCTCTTTTACGCTTTGTTTTACGTCGATTCTTTTGCTCTACGTGTTTGACTATAATCCAAGATGTTTTTAATTTAGTTGTAAAAATTTTATTAAAGTTATCTTTGACGATTGATCTACCTAAAATGCAGAATTTAATACAAGCAACCCATCTCACCAAAGATAAGTAGTGACCTTCGGACGCGATGTCAACACGCCTACCTTGACAGAAACTCCCTCTTCGATTTCAACATGCCTGCTTTGATGGATTGACCACATTGAATAGCTGACGTGATACTTGTGACTACGACATTGTCCACCACCTCGCTCTGTTGCTACTCAGTTTCGATCACACATAACGTCAGCCTGCATACACTGGACTGCTAATGGCAACACTGGAGCAATTACGACCCTGAACTTAATACAGCTCTCACGATCAACAAAAAGTATGGTGATCTTAACACAGCTTTACCGGTTTCTCACAAAACAGCAATGAATCAACTGCTAGTACTCGTTCATCGAATTCTATCACAGATATAATTCTGGTGAGGGGAGTACTGTAGTGTGTCTACCACTACAATAATGCGATTCCAATTCACTAGTATGTCAGACATGTTAACTCAATTCTATGATGGGCAACCTTTTCATAGATGAAGGTTGACATTGTAGATAACAACTCTCCCCACAAACTTATCACAAATAAAGAGTATTATCACCAAGATTATCCCCAAGAGTATTATCACCAATAGAGAGAATAATAAACAATTTTAGACCAACTTCTAATTTAAAGGTTCTCTCTGACATTAAATGCCAAACCAGTCCACAAATATTTGAATAAAGAGACTTAAAATATCAAATATACGTTAAGGGTAAAAATATTTTTAAATCTTTAGAATTATTTATGAAACTTTTTAAATGAATTTATGTTTGTAAATTATTATGCGTATTATTTCTACTAACATTATAAATCAATTGTTTGAACTAATCCCTTATCGTTAAAAAGTAATTTCAATTTATTTCATAAATATTTAAGTTCTCTTTTTTTTTAAGCCTTCTCTTTTAAGGGAGAGAAGCATAAAAGCAAAATTCTGTTTCGTTTCTTTGATAAAACAGATCAATTTCGAATGAAAAACAAGCTCTTATTCTGAAAAAAAAAAACGAAAACACATCAGTCATTATGACATGAAACACATGTAACACAAAAACAAGATAATTAGGGTATATAAATTCAGATTCTGATTTTAGTGTACATGGATATCATTAAGTGTTTACTATTACTTAGAATCACTAACAAAAAAAAATCTGAGACAAAATTTGCTTGAAACATTTCTAAGTTATGGATCGATAGTTATATTAGATAGATATATGAATTAGACAGATATATTATAGATTTGGCGCTTGGAGATCTTAAGTTTAATTGATAATATATTTTAAGTTTAATTCAACCATTTACAAATGACAGTAGTGGTATAAATAATGAAAAGGGTATAAATAATTAAAATAAAACATTTAATGAACATTAATCAGTAAGTAGTCTTTAAAGAATAAGCAAAAAAAATCATAAACTTTTTTCAAAACTTTTTCGCACAGTAAAGAAAGAAAACATATATTAATCTATAAATAAAATCTCACGAACAAAAGTAATTAGTAATAACAAAGATAAATAACTATTTTCAAAGGTTATTAAAAGTGATAAATTTTCTTTCGAAAACGTTATTTAGAGAATCATTAAGCATTTTCAAAGGTTATTAAACAAGATTAATATTCTTTACAAAGACTATTTAAAATTAATTATCTTTTAGAGAAAAAATGTTTTGCTTATTGAAGGAGAAATATTTAAAATTTGGATTGCAAGTTATAATAACATTCTTAATGGATGCTCATATTTGAATGATAATTTTGTACATCCATATTCCTATAGCGTAATATACATAGTGACAAACATTATTTTTAAAAATAGAATTAAAAACAATTTTTTTCTCCTGAAAACATTTTTCCAATTTAAAATTCTTTTTATATGCTATTTAATTTTACCTTTTGGTCCATGAGGTCCTGTTGGTCCATGCATACCCGGAAGTCCCATGAAACCTCGTTCCCCTGGCAGTCCCGGGGTTCCAGGATCGCCTATAAATTACACATAAGAGCAGTTAATATGTATAAATATTACACATTTTTCTGCAAAAATACATTTAAGAAAAGTCTAAATATTTAACCAAAAAGACTTCTTTACCTCAAGAAATATTTTATTAATGTTGCATAAAGAATAAGTTACACAAAATGTTCTTATTATAATATTGACAAATATACGTTTCGTCCTGCTTTCCTAATAAATCTAAATGAAAACCTTAAACTCAAATCAATCTTTTATCAAAAAGGTGGTTTACAGTCAAACTTGTTTTAACATCACAAAAATTGGTCTGAAAAAAGTAATAAACTTAAAATAATTCAATCTTTAATTTAAAAATTGGTTTACAATATAACTTAGTATTAATTCAACGTCACTCTAGAAAATTGGTAAAAAAAAAACAATAAATTAAACTAAACTCAATCTTTCATCTGAAAGTTAGTTTACAGTTAAACTTAATAGTTAGTACAACGTCACACTGAAAAATCGGTAAAAAAATAATAAACTAAATCTAATTCATTATTTCATCTGAAACTTAGTTTACTGTCAAATTTGGTACTTGGTTCAGCGCCACAGTGGAAAATTGGTCTAAAAATAATCTTAATTGAAATTAACATTTAAACATAACAATAGTCTTCCAAAGAACACCACTACATTGGTACAGTTTTGAACCATATTGTTTACTATATTGATTGAAGCAAAATTGGCAGTAATTATTAGGTTAAAAACTTGATCTGCAATTTTATCAGTGAAAGATTTAAGGTTAGGTACTTTTGAGAAATATGAACAAAAATCACTCTTCCAAAATATTAGAGAGAAGCAAGCACTTCTGTTTTTTTCCTACTTTTTTTTTGCTGTTCATGAAACTACACCGAGAAATAACCTAAGTGTTTTATTAGTATAAGTAGATTAAAAAAATTCTACTATTTCATCCCCTAGAGTCATGTTCCTCATTTAAGTATTATATTTTGCCTGTTTCATAATCTTTATTTTTAATTTGTTCCATGCTTTTATATTTTTTTAAAACTTTTTTTTTTAGAAAGGAGTAATTAAAATATCCAAGAATCGAATAGCTCTCTAATTTTTGTAATCTAGAATTCCCTAATGGTGTCTAGAAAGCAGTCTAGAAATGAAATTTTAAAAAAAATGAATGAGAAATGTCCAAATTAATAGCTTTTAAAAAGCTTGTAATGAATTGATATTTTACGGTCTCACTATAATGTCTTTTTGTGATTGATTTAGAGCAATAATTTTTATAACTTCAACAACAAATCCATGTACACTCAAATATTTCATTAATAATTTTGAGCTAGTAAAAACAGGTATTGGTTATCACTCTAAATACTGTATTTCATTTGCCTTTCGGTTAATTTTAATGAAATATAATATTTAAATAAATAATGTTTAAATTGAATGTTTAAAAAATTTACGTTTGTACCTGACTGTTCAAATTATTCCTGTTCAAATCTGAATATTCAAATGAATCATGAAAAGAAAGTAACTAAACAATAAAACAAATTATACCTTTTTGTTTATTCCTCTTATTTTGTTAGATTTTTTTTTAATATTTAGACTTTTCCAGCGTATTAGGACATTTTTTATTTATTTCGTAATAAAACAATGGGACATCAATAAAGAATTCTTCAACCTCCTTCATCTAATGAAATTCTTTCTTCCCATAATGTTTCTTTAAGGAAGACAAATAAATAATAGTCAGAAGGTGCTAAATCCGGATTATATGAAGGGTGCTCAAGGTTAGAGTTTTTTATTTTATTTTATCATGTTATGATTACGATCGTCTGGTATTTCATTATGTATACGCACAAAAAAAAATGTTGTTTGGAAAAGAATGGATGGTTTTTTGGACTACGATGCTGTCTTGTCATTAATTTAACAGTTCACAATGAAATAATGCATTAATTGTTTATTTTTTTAGCAGTAAATTAATGCACTATTGATTTAATAACGCCTTAACTCACAATCTCGCATAATTGTTTTTCTTTCTTGATTTTTTTGACTTTTTTCATTGGTTTCGTCAATAATCATTATTAGATGTCACACAGTAAAAAGTCTGAAATTCCTTTGTGTGCGTCATCCGTAAAATCCATTTAAAACATAATGTATTGTACCGTAATTTTTACAGTAATATTAATTTATTTAATAAGAGGAATACAGTGATTTTACTCAATTATTACTGAAAAAAATATGATACATCAGTTTTGTTGTGTAGTGACATGTTCCGGTAAAAAGGAATTTTACGGTAAAAAATACCAGTCTATTTACTACTTTTTACCATAATTTGATCAGGAATTTTTATAGTTTATAATGACTCATTACTCATGAAAATTATAAATAAATTCTCACTTGAAAAAAAAAATCCGCTTCCTTTTTTAAATAAAGAACATAAGTTTAAAAATAAATAAAAGCAGTAATAAATATTTCGTCACCAATCTTCAAAGGCATAAGCTTACCAAACTCTAATTCTGATTAGTTCCAATTAGTTTTTGTTCAGACTAACTTAGGTTTAAAAATATTAAAAAAAATAAACAGTGATAAATTCTTTGTGCCTAAATTTCAAGCCCATAAATTTTTAAAATCTGATTTACATTAAAACTATTTTTTTTCTTCAGTCCAATATCTGTTTAAAAGAATATAAGATCAGTAAATTTCTTTTGCACAATCTTCAGAGACATAAGTTCATAAAAATCATTTACACATTATTTCCAAATTGTTTTTGTTCAGACCAACTTACATTTAAAAACATACAAAAATAATAATTAATTTTTGTGCCTAATTTGAAGACCATAAGTTTTAAAAATCTATTTTACTTTGGACCCAATTATTTTTTCAGACCAACATCTGTTTTAAAAAAATATAAAAGTTAATAAGTAATAATAATAAGTAAATATAAAGAGCTTTTAAAACTCCATTTCAAATTAGTTCCGATAAGTTTTTTTCCCAACACACATGCATTTGAAACATGCAAATACACCATTAAATTCATTATGCCCAAATTTCAAAGACATAAATTTATAAAACTCTATTTTACATTAGTTCTAATTATTTTTTTTTCCAGTATAACATTGGTATAAAATAATAAAAATACAGTTATAAATTTAATGTAGCCGAACTTTGAAGGCATAAATGTACATTTCACTATAAATTTTTTCAAATATACACTCCATGTTTATAAAACTAAATGTCACATTTGTTTCGATTAATTGATGAATTTTTTCAAGACCAACAGCGTTTAAAAACCGATATAATCATCAGTAATAAGTTTTTTATGCCTAAACTTAAAAAAAACGTAAGTTTATATAAATCCATATTGCATAATTCCGATAATTAGATTGCGAATATGACAGTTTCGAAAGTCTGTAAAACGATTCTGCGAATTTAGAAGTGTTCTTTTATTTCTTATTGATATTTTTTTAAAAACTTATCAAATTCATCGCAATCAAAAGGTATAATATGCTAAGATAAAAATATTACTACTATATTAAGCTCCCACGAATGATATTTAACAAAATAAACTGTATAAACTATAAAATAACTGCTAAATGGAGCTACGTAGCAGCAGCTTCATTGTATTGGAATTAATCTAATTAAGGAATTTTCAGCTTTCCAACTTAAAATTTTAATACTCAGAGTGAAAGCATCATTTCGGAATTAATTTAACGCAAGACTTGCACTCTAGGTTTAATGCTCCGCCACATAATCGCATTCAATGCCGTATTAGCGAGTTATGAGATAATAGACTTAACGATGTCATTGCATATCATACATTAAAATTCTTAACGAAATTCCTAAATGTTGATAAGAGGCATACATTTAACTATAATAACGCATTATATGAGAAGCCAAGAGTTTGGAAGCTTAAAAAAATATATTATATGGCATAAGGTGAACCATCTCAGATAACGCCGTCTTGAAAGGGCGCTTTTTTATTCGTATTCACAAGCAATGAAATAAAAAACAGAATGATGCCAGTCCATGCATTGTAAAAAAAAATCTATCCCCACGGGTAAAAGTAGTGGCAATTACTTTTCACCTAAGTTACGTAGTGACGCGTCATACATAACTCATTGATCTAGTGTTTCACTATACCAATGTTCTTTTACACTGCTCTGAAAAGTAGCCATCATTTTTGTTTTTCTCTTACAGTAAAATTTGTAATTACAGTAAGATAAGAAACATCTAAGAATCATTTAAAAAGTTATTTTTGCAATACAAAATAAAGTAAGAATCATTAATTTAGAATGCATAGATACAATAATTCTTTAAAAAAAATATGTGTAAATGAATTTAGTTTTTATATCAGCGTAGCACTGAAAGAACCTTAAGATATATTCGAACTAGGCTTAACAGAACGGAAACGAATAGAAATTATAAAATCAGTTAATACAGTTCTCGGAGATTTAAAAATTAAAATACAATACTCCTTATTACACAACTAAGAGCATATATGCATATAAAGTGACGGATTTTTGATTTTAGTGATGAATATCAGATTTGAGAATTAAAACACACTGTTGCCAGCTTATTCCAGAGAGTAACAAAACTGCTCGTAATATTCAACTTAGCGTTTCTGGATATTCAAAGCTCGCCAAGTGCCAGGCTTGGTGTTTTTGTAAGTAAAAATATTTCTCGTATGGTGTGAAAGCGAGACAGTTTGGTGATTATTCAATTCAATTATCCAATTTGGTGATTATTCAATTTAAAAAGTTTAGACTTAAATTATACCTTTTCAATCGTATATGAGCTTACGATTTGGTGTTAACCCTGAAAAAAGTGTTCCGTTACACAATTATTTGGGTTGTTCAACATCAACATCATATTTAGAGAGATATTACACCACAATTTTTACAGTTTAGCATAGGATAACATTCCTACAAATATTTCTATAACGCTGATAACGTGTTTACTGAGGGGACAATAGTTAAAATGTTTTTAAAAATAATAATTGTTATTAACATAAGGTGGATTTTTATAGATTCTATAATGATGTGTTGTTCTGTAAGGTAACGTGTTGACGTGTTGTGTAAGGTAACTCTAATAATGCCCAATAATGTACTCATCTAAATAAAGTTCAATTGTTAATACACTCAAAATATATATTGATGAAACTTGTCTACCTTGTATTCCAGGTTTACCGGGCCTTCCTCGCTTACCAGGTTTAGATATACCTGGAAAGCCTCTAGGACCACGTAAACCACTAACCAATTCCTGGAACCGATCTGATAAGGAAAAAGAAATAAACATAAAGCCATGCAAGAAATGAATCATGCAAGTTAAAATGTGGGCAGCAAAGACATCCAGGCCTTACAGGTTAACCAAGATGAAGCAGGTACACAGAAGACAAAAGATTCACTTTATTTCGTATAAGCACGTGACGATAAATCAATAGAGTTCGAGATTAGTTTGAAGATCTTAAAGCTTTTGAGATGTTTTCCTTCTTTCATCAATGGCACGATAGCTCTGTGTGGACCTTGGCCTTCGTTAGAATTCTATTCCAAGCCGCCCAATCTTTAGCCTTGGGTTTTCATGAGGTTTCTTTGAGAACGTCTCAAGTCTCTTTTCGGAAAGTCTGCCCATCTGAGTTTAGGACGACCTCTCTTTTGACTGATTTTTGGTATGGTTAAAAAAGTATTTTTCGTGGTGCATCACGCATTCTCATAACGTGACATGCCCATTTCACGTTTTGGTGAATTTTTTGATATCCGAAATTTTGCAGATTTCGTATTGTCCACTATTTGCTTTTCCCTCTAGATGTCATGATCTTGAATTTCACCAAAAATGCGTCTAAAACATTTCCTTTCAAAAACTGCAAAAAGTTCTTTATCTTTTTCAGCCAGATCACTTTGAATTCCACCAAACATACATCTTAAGCACTTCCTCTCAAAAACTGCTGGTAGTTCTTCATCATTTCAGCCATTGGCCATGTTTCAGCTGCATATGCTAAAATAGATCTGGTTAGAAATTTAGAAATAGTTTAGTTGATCTTTTTATGAAACCTGTCTCTAAAAATTTCTTACGTAAGATGGATTATCGGTTGGCAAATGTTATTCTAATATAGATTTCTACTGTTATATCATATTCTAAGTTGATTTCAGAGCCTAAATAAGTAAAAGGTTGTTTTAAAAGGATGCTACCAATTAAACTACTAAACTACTGCGCAAAATATCACTGATTCAGAAAAATGTTCAATCAATAGTACACGAAATGTAACTGGTTTGGAAAGACTGGACTTTGCGTCCAATATGTGAATAGTTTTAAAAGACCATCCAAATTTAGCCTACAAAATATGATATACTACGATATTATAAAGTGTTAAACTTTAGAAATAAGCTTAAACTTCTGCAAAAAAAATTAGCATGATGTGTTTGGAAACTGATTCAAATTTTTAAAAGCAAAATACTATTGATTTAGGACGAAATGCCATTTTCATCATATGCATCTACTTCTTGATATTATCAGTAGGAATATTCCAAATCACATTAAGACTTGTAATGGCTTTAAAAAAAATATTTTATTTTTGCACTTTTTGCTTATAAGCAAATTAAAAAAACTCATATATAAGCAGTAAGAGAAATATTTATAAAAAGGATGAAAGCATAGAGACAAAAGAGTTTTGGAGTATATTGAAAAGTACGAAACAGAAAATAGAAAGGAATAAACGAAATCATGCTCCGTGCGACTGTAGTTAAAGATGTATCAGAAAAAAGAAATCTGAAGCCTATCTTAGTGATATTTAAAAAAAATTTTCTGCTGCTCATCCTGAAACAAAAATGGTTCCTTAAAGTCATTTTTAAGAAAATGTAATACCTGAAGGACCTTGTGGACCTGGCGGACCTGGACGTCCTGGCTTTCCACGACCCGGGGGTCCAGGAGGACCTCTTAATTTGGCTGTTAATTCTGCTAATTGTTCTATAATGATTCATCGAGAGCAATAGAAAATTAAGAAACTAAATATTTTTCACACAAAAAATGCATATATAGTGATACAGTGAAGAGAATAAATATCTTTTTTTAAAAAAAAGAGTATATAAAAAATGAAATTTATTTTTAATTATTAATTGTAAGAAAATAGTTCGTATTCCTTGCTTATTTCTATTATAATCATATTCGTTTATTCGCAATTTCACACAAAGTATAGACTAAGTGAATATTTCTTTCTAACAATAACATACACATACAATAAATATTATGAATTAATAATTAAAAAAAACACAAATTATTTTCTTCCATGAAGATCTAATCAAAATACATTAATTTTTTTAAAATTTTATACTTGAAATAAAATCTCTCTTACTTATTTTGTTTCAAATCTTGATAATGTTCCAATTTATTAAAATTATATTTTTTTAGACAAAAATTTCTTTTCTTATTGTTTGAAACTTTCTACAAAATGAGCTTTCTACAACAATTTAATACTCATTATTTTTCTTTGCTTAGCTTAATCAATACAAGATCTAAAAACTTTTCCTCATTTTTCCGTAAACACCCCAATTCATTAATTTTTAAGCTTTTTCCTCTCATAAGTCTTCTCATTATTTTTTACGGTTACTTTAAGATTGAAATTAAGTGTTTTTTCAAAAAATTGATGTAGAATAATTAAACAAATATGAAAGAGTTAAACTTTGGGTCATACTTGTTTTGTACGTAAAAATTTTGAAAGAGCATAAATAATCACATAAACAGCCACACTATAGTTTCGGATCTGAAACGTAGAACATTGTTCTGTGATGTTCTGTGATGAAACGGTAATGTAACATGATTGATTTACTTTTAACCAGGTAAAGAAATGTATAAGATTATTTAAAAGCATGATTAAAAAACATAGTTTTATTTAATTTAAATGGAAAAATAAGGCAAATAAGAATAAAATAGGACTTCAAATGAATATTTTCTGTTAGACATGAACAACGTGATCTAAAAAACGTGAATAAAACACAGATACAGGTACAAAAATGGACATACTGTATCACATGATCAAAAAATTCATTCGTTTCAAAAATATACAAATTGGAAATAACAGCCATGTTTCAAGCTCTCAAAAATTGTCACCCATTTTCAAGACTTGCCAGAATGAGAAGACGTGAGAAGAAAAAAAATGTGATTTGAAATATAAATACGTTAAGTTGTCAATGCAAAATGGAAGCATAAAGGTGAGAAACAAAACTAAAACAGCGTCCGAGAAAGAAAAAAAGAATAAAAGCAGAACTAGAAAATATAGTTTCTGTTCTATAAACAAGAATCTTCCTCAGTGACGAAACTCATAGTTTGTGTTTTAACAATGAGAAATGTTCTTGTTTGTATAAATTAATGATTTATAAATTTAAGAAAGAAATCTAACCATTTCCTTACGGTTGGTACAGCTGATGATCCAGAATAGCAGGTGCTATCAAGCACCGTAGGCAAATGGTTAGCGAACTTTAATTTTCATGTTAATCAGTTAGCAGTCACCCAAAGAATATCGATTTTTAGAATTTAATTTCCACTCCATTGAGCCTACCCGGCAAAAGAAAATAAGGTCATTTTTAATGAGAAAAGGATTAACTACAAATTTAAGAATTAATTGAATCTAAATTGCTAGAAATATATGTGATGTTTATAATAGCATTACAAGTATCGAATTTTATAGAACTGAATCTATAGTATCTCTGCTTATGTGACATTTTTAGTGTTACTTTCACACTCTTTGCTTTATACATACAGAATAAGTACTTCGAGCAGCACGTGCTGAAACTTAAAGAACAAAAAAAAATTTAATTGAGTTACTTTATATTTATAGTCATAAATATAACAAATAAATTGTAATAAATAAGTTAATTTTATGCCCAAAGACATATAAAATAATATATTTACTACGCAAAATACGCTTAGGAATGATTTTGCATTATTATAAAAGATTTTGTAAATCGTGTGTTTCATACAAAAATTTTACCTCTAAGAACAGAAGCACATATTTCTCTCATTTCTTCTTCCGTGTAACCTCGACCCTAAAAATATCAAAAATGGTTAATCAGAAATTATCTAAAATTTCATAAGTACATAAAAATTCGTTAATTTATGTATTCATGATTTGAATTATGTCAATTTAAATAGACTGAATCTGTACCTACGCTTAATTACTAGTAAAAAGGCAAAATGTCTGCAAGCAATTTGTAATTCCTAGTTCTTACTGATTTCTTTCGAATTGAAATTTAATTCGACTATTTACCGTAATCTTCGATTAAAACATGTTCTTGGTTAAGTTAAGGTGAGTTAATAAATCAATGAGTTAATAAATCAATGAGTTAAGAATAGCCAAGAATAAGGTATTCTATTAATCAACGAATCGATATATGCGTTGAGCAATGAATGAAGAAATAAATCGGTTTCAGAATTAATGGATAATCAAATCAATAAATTAATGAATTAGTTTAATAGTAAATGATGGAATCTACGTAACAGCGAAAAATTAAATGGTGAGGTCAACATGGCAGTAATACAATAAATGCCAAAAGTGTTAAGTTAACAAATCCATGAATGGACAAGGAAGCGAATTAACAAATGCGTTGATATTCGCTGATTTAGGTCATTTTGCTGACTTCTTTTACAATTATACGTTGATGATTCACTAATTCATAAATATGCTGAGTTTTTCATTTGATTATTTATTTGTAGACATTATGATTCATTCATTAATTCACTGATCGTTCAATGAGTTACTCATTCATAACTGGCTGATTTATTAATCGATTCGTTTATTCGTTTTGTTCTACAAATATAAATCAATTTTATGTTTTAAGCGGTTTCTTTGTGTCATACACGTAGCAAAAATGCTTTTTCACTGAAAATCGCAGTAAACAGTAGAAACAAATTTTTTATTCAATTCATACGAAAGATTAGTGTATGCACATTAAAGATGGATTTCTGCTGTTAAGGGAAATTTTTTTTAATGCAATTGAAGTTAAAATAATGAAGCATAAGTACACTGTAAAAAATTTCTGAGTTATTCACTGTGACAAATATTGCCCCCAAAGTGTCTGTATTTTTTCCGTAAAATACCCTCGCTGACATACCGTAATATTTACTGTAAAATCACTGAATCACTGTAATTAAATAAATATTACTGTAAAAGTTACAGTATAACAGTTTTCGGTTAAAATTAATTTTGTAGACGATGCATACAAAGTGCCACTTTTTACAGTAATTTTTCAGAGTAGAACAACGCAGTGTACAACGCGTAAAATACAAATGACTCAAACTTCTGAACTAAAGATTGGATATTAAACAAGTACGAAATTCAAATTTTAGGGACTTAAAAGGCGAACTATAAAAAAGTAATTAAATTATTACTTTTCTTGATTTAAAAAGAAGTTGTACTTCGAAAAATGCTACTCCATTTTTTTTAAATAAAAAGAATATTTAAAAGTTGAACTCTTTCATAATATTTTTACTTTTTGCTTTGTGTCTAAATGTTACGTTTATTGCTTCAGAAATTGTTTAATTTTTGTATAATTTAAAAACCCAGTTTTATAGCCATTTATGCTAAATAGTATTAAAAATATAACAAAAAAATTATTTTCTTACTACTCAACTTTGCGGGAAAAGTTAATGAACAAAGTGATTAAAATTTTTTAAAGTAACTTACAGGAGGTCCTGGCAATCCTGGCATTCCAGGTCCACCTCTGTTACCGGGATTACCAGGTATTCCAGGTGGACCAGCAGATCCTGGCATGCCTACAGGTCCAGTTGATCCAGGCGGTCCTCTCTCACCTGATCCACCACGCTCACCAGGCTAAAAAGATTTGATGCATTACTAATAAAAAGCTGGATTTCCAGTTAAAAAATAATATTGTTATAAGTAAATGTTGCATTTTCGACAAACGAGAAAAAAACATAAATTTTGGACTCAAATAAATTTGACGTTAATATTAATGGATCATTTCATAACTATAACTCTTTATTTAGGCTTTTTGGATCTTAGCTGGCTTCTTTACTAAAGAAAAAAAATCTGTACAACTTTAATGAAATTGAAATTAAAAAATATAGATACATTTTTGTAAACTATACTTCTTGTAAAGAAGTGAATCAATACTGAAACAAATTAAAATTCAACGTATTGTAAATTTTAAGGAATATCATAGTAGTTCAGTAATTATGGCACAAAAGGGTACTTCTGCGGAAAAAATTGATATCCAATGTATTTTTTGATAAAAAGCTTTTTTATGTTATTATTAAAGATGCCAGAAATCTTCGTTGTACTCCTCCCCCTTTTTCTTTTGTTGAAAGAAATGGGGGTGATTAAAGGGGATAAAGTAAATTTACCCTTTACACAGCCAAACAAAGCATTGTATTCGATGTTTTTTTAAGCAAAATGGAATGAGACTAATCCCGAGCCTAAAGGACTAATAGTGTAGAAGTTATATTGGTCTCAGACATAAAAAGTATAATTCTGTACTTGTGTCTATTCACGCATTTGAAATTGCTATCTAAACTAGTGAGACATTGTTTCTTACTTAAATTGATTAAAATTGACAATAAAATGAATAGTTCAAAGGTTGAAAGTGTTTTAATGTATAAATGTATTACTTTAATGTACATTTACATGTCTTTTATGTACACTTCTTATTATGTATGCAAAATGCGTAAGTGAGTGCAAGTACGAAATTATAATTTTTGTACACAAAAACTTCTATGACTTCTTATTTTATCAATTTCTGTTTTTTCTCGTACACTTCAGCTGGAACAATTACATTGGAAAATGTACCTTACATACTCAAGTAGCCCCTAGATTGTAACAAGTGCACGTTAGTACCTGTCAAAAAAAGTATTTTTTTTTTATAAATTAAAGCTTTTTTTCTCTTTGAAAGTTTTCCTACCCGAAACTAAGTTAACCTTGTTTAAATCATCTTATTTTATTAAGATTGGTTAGATTTTTGCCGAAATCACTTTTTATATTATTGAAATATGATTACAAGATCAAAGTACTTACAAGGGAAACTAGGGAAGTGTGACTCGCCAATTTTGAAATAAACTAGTGGGATGTATGCCTTATGAGGAATAATTTTAGGAGGCAACATTCGTTTCGGCCCATAAATGGTACTGTGAGAGATAAAAAATAATTCAATATGTAGAAAAATCGATCTTTTATCACTTCAATGCAGACTATTAGTTATTGTAATTGTCTCATACTCCAATTAATTATTAATTAATTGATTTGCTTATTAACAAATTAAAGCAAAAGTAGCAAATCAATTATACGATCATTAATTAATTTTTAATTAATTAATTATTAATTAATTGATTTGTAATTACATACTCCAATTAATTTGGAAAATTTTTTGGAAAAAATTTAAAAAATTTGATGTCAATATTTTTTTTCAAAATTAACCTAACAGGTTTTTCTGAAAAACTACGGATATATAAATTTTCGAAATCCATTTTGACAATAAACATGCATTATATAATACGTGAAAGTACCACAAAATTAATTGGAGTATGAGATAATTACAATAACTAATAGTCTGCATTGAAGTAATAAAATACCGATTTTTCTATATATGGAATTATTTTTTGTCCCTCACAGGACCTTCTATGGGCCGAAACGAATGTTGCCCCCTAAAATTATTCCTCATAAGGCATACATCCCACTAGTTTATTTCGAAATTGGCGAGTCACACTTCCCTAGTTTCCTTTGTTAGAGAAATGGAATAAAATAATATTATGGAATTTAATTTGCTTATATTTTTATTAAAAAATGTAAAATAATAAAGAATAGAAAGTTTACCATTACTGTTTTCACAGTTTTCCCTAACTGTTTTTTTTTCTTATTTAAAGTTTTCCAATGCTATTTTTACATTCTTTTTCATTTCATTTCGTCACATTGCTACACGTTTGTAGCCAACCACTCTGGATACATTTATGAATTTTCGGAGAAAAATTGTTTATTTAGTATAATTTATGCAAATATACTAAAAAATAAGCTAAAATTGTTTTTAGTTTTTATGTTAAAAATGAGGAAAGAATTGAATTGAATTCAATTCAATATATAATTTAGAAAGTTGAAAATATTTCCTTTAACCAAATTTAAAACCAATTATTATATCATAAAGAATCATTTCAGTTGCAGCTGGAGAGGCCGTTTTATAGAGTTAAATTTTTATTGATCTTAATTTTAATGAATCTGAGAGAAAGGTACATAAAATATAGCTGTTTTAATTTGATATGCATAAGAGGTAGAAAGCATCCTTAAATATCGAAAATATAATACAATACCATTCCAGGAGGTCCCATAGAACCAGAAGTTCCCTAAAACAAAAGAAAATAAAGCATTTTTTTAAATAAAGTTAGTTATGGTAAACTTCACAGTTGTATAAAAAACTATTATTAAATACTTTTCAAATCATCGTTACCTGTGGACCAGGCAGTGGTACTAAACCTTCAATATCATAGCTAACAAGACCACTTTCACCCTGAAAGTAAAAAGGGTTACATTATTTTGAAATAAGATTTATGTTTCAATTCAATATATAATTAAGCATCATTCATTAATTATTATGAAATTATCTTACCTTAGGTCCAGGGGGACCCGGTGGACCTGGTGGGCCCTGAAAGTATAAATCACATATTATTAGAATGTATATAACTCGCTTTTAACTATTAGTTTACTCGTTATTAACTATTAAATCATTAGAATAATGAGAATTAACAACACGAAAATGGAGGGAATGCTAGAGAACAGAATGAAATAGGGCAAATAGTTTTCGAGTAATAAAATGTCATAGTTTGAATTTCTTTTTTCTTCAAGAGCTATTTGACCGATTTCGATCAAAATTAAAATTGTTTTCTTTTAAAATTACAATGTTTAAGAAGAAAAAAGTATTTCTATATTTTGCAATTATAAAGGTTTCAGATTATTAATAATTGAATGAAAGAAATTTTTTTAAAAAAATTATGTAATTATTTTTGGAATAGCGAAATTTAGAAGAGTGTGCAATTTTGATTTTTAATTTTCTGGAATAATTCCAAAGATGCGGATAAGTAAGCAAAAAAGGAAAATTAACATTAAAGAATATAAGAAAGCTGTAGAATAATGTACGGAAAGTTAAGAATTTAGTTACAAAAATTGCCAAAAGATGGAGGTAAACTCTGTAAAGAGTTCTGTAAAACAATACAAATATCGCAGGGCTATAATCCAACCAATAATATTCTACACCAGAAAAAACATTGTTTAACCAAATATATTGTTTAAACCTCCTAAATTGGTACGACAACCTTCTTTCACATTTTAGCACTAGAATTGACAGATTACGTACATCAATTAGTTGCAGCGCCATCTACAAGCAATTTTTGTAACTAAATTAAAAAAAAGTTTCTGTAAAAAAAAAATATTTTACACTTTTTACGGCAAACATACTGTTTGTTTAATTCCTCAATCACTCTTTGTTTTCGAGAGTTTAATTTTGAATTGAGACAGTCATCTGCAGGATATCCTTTTGAATGGGAAAATCCGATCATTAGATAAAAAGCTATTGATGTGTCTTTTTTTTAAAAATTCTGTTGTATATTAAATGGTGTGCATTTAACCAAAGGTGTAAAGATAATTTATCAGTGTTATTTTAATTTTTAATTAATAAAATTTAATTTCTTTATTCTAAATACGAGTTTGGTAATAAAATGTTAACTTTTGAAGCTGGAATTTCAGATTCCAGTTTCAGCTATAGCTGGTTGGTAGCTCAACTTTGGCTTTCCTAATACCATCTGTTTTCTGAACTTATTTTCTCTAGCAGTAGATTGATTACGAGCAATAGATGTTCCATATTTTATTTTGTTATTATTTTTTTTTTTTTTTTNTTTTTTTTTTTTTTTTTTTTTTTTTTTTTTTTTTTTTTTTTTTGGATTCTCAGTTCAAGACATTTTTAAAATTGTTTTACTTATTCATATATGACTACTATGACTGTAAAGAGTTACCCGCGTGCCCTAAATAAGAGCGGGACGGGGAAAATTTTCCATGACTGTAAAGAGTATGAAAATATCTTTATGCTAATTTTTTCCCTTAACTATTTTCAAATAAACTAGGAGGCTTCGCCCCCTGCTCGCCAACTCCCGAAACTGCTGTCGCAGTTCAGTTCGGATTGCTTCACAATCCGATGCTCGCTCTTTGGATACGTTCTTAACGTCTAGCTTTTGTATACTTTTTTGAACACTGAAGTTCCGAAAACTTTAACTGTAGAAAATTCTAAACATGTGCATTTCAATAGTAATTTGAAATTGCAAACAGTTCACATATTTTTCTTAATCACACTATTCTAAATTTCAGTTGTTGAGAAAAGTAACTGTTGTAAGTTTTGTTTTAAAGTCTTTCCCACCAGAGGGCTAAAACCATGTGTTGTAAAACAATATGAAATAGTACTGAACGCCGGATGTAAGGCATCGGCTTCGATGAAGATAATTTTGTGAGAATTTTTTTGATAATTCTGTGAGAATTCACCCGATTAGACATATGATATGCTCACTACGTGCTCTTGCGCGCCGAATCCAATCAATTAAAAATGAAAACTGTTGCCAACGCGAGAAAAGAAATATCATCGGTTTTATTGATACATACATACGTACGTATTAGCGTTTTATATAGTAGGAGATTATATAAATTTTAAGACAATTTAGAATTTCTTCCAAATGCCCCGAGAAAATACTTATATACGAAATGCTTGTACCCGATTTTTAAGTTTTACAAGTTTTGACTTTTTAAAAAAAAAGATATAGGAGAGCGAGATTTTAACTGATAAAGAGAACGGCGTATATCCGGTCACATAATTTAATGAAAAAGCGCCACAACCGGAGTTTCCTTACATGTAAACTGGAACGAAGTACCTCTATAGTCATAGTCTGAAAAGAAAATAGCTAGAGCTCAAAAGATTTATTTTCTTCTTTGGAAAAGAGAACAATTTTAGTTAGTTTAAGAAAGAGATCGTAGTGCTGAGTTCCGTATCCGTAGTTCCATATCAGAAATAACCTATTCAATAAACTTCAATTTCAATCTCATTTACACCTCACAAATTCAACATCATGAAGAGCTAAGCAATACTTATAGTTGAAATAGGGTGTAATGTATTCAGAACTAAAATAGACTTATTTACTTGAAGTGAAGAAAAAATAACCTCTCTACGCCTCAAAAACAACCTCTCAAAGTTGATTGCTCTATGGTATAAATCCATCTACATCAAGAGAACCTCAAGTGTGAGTGTAGCTACATGCACCTTGATTATAAATCTGGAGAGGTTTTACAAATCCCTTTGTTTTTATCTTTCATTCAAGCCTGGCTTGTCTTGAGAATGGGTGCCTATTTTTGAACGCTCGATAAATGCCATCATTGTTATTAACATCTTCATTATTGATTATCATTACCCTAACATCTTCATATCTTTTGATGAAAATAAATTTTATATCATTAAGCATATTTTTTACTAAAAAGCGTTATTTCATAGAATGTCAGAAAATAATAATACTTTTATTAAGCACAAACATTAAATCAAATTTTAATGAATTTTTTTTCTTAATATTATATTTATAAATTAATTATTACATCAGAATATTTTAGGTGTATAGAAAATCTGCTCTTCATTTTAACTTGATAGAAGCTATTATAAATACATTTTGAATATTTTAACTAAAAGGTTTTTGATTTTTTTTCTTTTAAAGTGCAGAGTAATCAACTCTTTTCTGAAGCATGAATCACTCTAACGAAACAAATCTTACTTCTTTTCATTTTTCGTTGGAACAAAAAAAAAAGAGCTTTTCAAACTTTTTCATCTTCCGTTCTAGTCTAAAGTTCTTTAAAGCTTCCTTCTCAGTTTCTCGAGGAAGTTATATGATTCTTAAGTTCTTTTATCGATCTTAAATATCGATAGTATCAGTACTCGGCAGTACAAAAGATTCTTAGACAAATCCTTCATGTACTTTTTATTTGAATTGCAGCAAGTAATATTTGTTTGAAATCAGTTCACCTCATTTTAGGATTCTTTTTTTTCTCTCTTTCTTGTTTGGGGGGAACTCAGTAGATAATAAGCTGAAAACAGATATAAAGTTTATCTAAAAATATTCGGCTTGTTAAAGGAAAATAATATTTCCTGCTTTCTTTTCTTCTTCGCAGAAATAAAAACCACTAGACATATTGGAAATAAATTTCTCTAATTCATGTATCTTTCAGATGTAATAGTAAAATTTTAAAAAAAAGTGATTTATTTTTTATTGGAAAAATGATTTTTCCCCTATGACATTGAGATTTTTAAAGTCAATAAATATGTAAGTCAAATAAAAAATTGAATAAGTCATCATTTAATGCAAGCTGCTTGCATAAATATATCCATTCTAAATAATTTCTATTGAAACCTAAAAAATTAAAGTAAACTAACTATTCTTCTTCTGTTTTCCATTGTCTTACTGGTATTTGCTTATATTTATCAATAAGAGATTTTCAGAAAAAACGATAGGGAAAAGTTACCGATTGCTAACATAATTTAAGTAGCCTCTCATTTATTGATTTTATTGTTTATTGATTGGTTATTGATTCACCAAGTGACGATTGTTTTTTTTTTCAGGTCTTCAGAGAGAGAGAGAGCATAACGATTTTAATGAACATGTTTTTAAATCAACATTCATTTCTTGTTCTAATTTACATTTGAAAATAAAAAAATAATACATAAAACGTTTGGCATTATTATTAATGTATAACTAAAATATGTCGAAATATAATTATTAAATCAAAATATAATAAAAATTAAAACATGTCAAAATTAACATTTTCTTTTAAGAATTCTTTAAATTCAATATTTATATCCATCTTACTCAATCTATAGTCTCTTACAAAAACATTTTAGACCCAATCTATAATGATTAGCAAAATTTTTACTATATAGGTAAACAATTTGTTTACGTTATATTCTGATTCTGTTAAGTTAGCTGAAAATTGTTTTTCATATAATTTATGTTTTAATTGTACAACGTGTCGTAATTATTACTGTATGAAGTATGTAACCCATTTGTAATTTAGTAGTTTTACTTGAAATGGTGTAAAAAAATATCTACTTACTGAAGGCCCTGGAAAACCGACCAATCCAGGTAATCCAGCTGGACCAGATGGACCTACAGGACCCGGTGAACCCTAAAAGGTCAGAAAAATAATATTATATTAATAATAGTACATGCTCATTTAATTAATAAAGTGGTATTGAATTATGATATAAATGGATAAAGCGCCTTCACTTAATCATGTGGTACCATATTTTCAAAGAAAAAATACATTCATGACTTTCTGGTGTGTAAACATTAAATTACTCATCATCATCATAGTTGGCCAGACAACCCAATGTGAGCCAATGCCTTCCTCTAAAGATATCTCCACGACTTCCGATTTATCTTTGATCTCCAATTTTTTTCTCATTAATTGCGAGAAAATCAGGCTCCACTGAGTCAACCCATCTCAATCGCGGTCTTCCCCGCTTTCTTTTTCCTGCGGGTGTAAGAAGCAGTATATTTTTTATTGTGTTGTCGTCACTCATTCGAATCACGTGGGCGATCCAATTCATTCAATTTCTTTTCATGTATTTAATAATATCAGATTGTTTATAAATATTCTACAGTTCAAAGTTGAATCTCCTTCTCCAGTTATTGTTTTCATTTACACCACCAAGTACTCCGCAAAATCTTTCTCTCAAAAATTGCGATACAATTTTCCTCCAGACATCAAATTACTATTAAGATGTTATTTTTTAAATCCTTGATTGAATAAGCTATATTTCAACTAAATTCTCAAAATTTATAAGAATTATTTTTTCATATGTTGTTTTCGTATATAGTGAAGTCAGCTATGTGATTGCATTTACAATTTAAACCAATGTAATTCTTATCATAAATTCATGTGTGTTTATAAATTCAAGTACGCTAAACAGATTCAATTTATGTAATATTACGAAAATAATTCCCAATTAAAAATAGATTAATAAAACAATAACAGAATTTTCATTTGAACACTACTTAAAAATACAAAGAGGGACATATAAGTCTTGACTAAAATTTTTTTCTCCATATTATTGATGATACCAGGTAGCAACATAAGTAGAATTACATTTCGTTTTTCTGTGCCAGCAATTTGCTTATAAAATGAAAGAGAAATTGCATGTGGTTTATTTTTCCTTTCGAAAAGTAAATTTTTTATTCTCATCTGAGGCCATTTCTTATTAAAATGTCCATAGAAAATCATTGAATTCTTCATGCTTTCTTAGATTAACATTCTAACAACCAGTTTACTGCTTACTCAATTTTTAATTAATTTAATTTCTTTCAAGAAGAGCACTTCCCAAAATATTATGACAAATCATTAATCAATAATATTTGGGTTGTTTTTAATTTATTTAAAAAATAATAAAGTATTTAAAATATAATAATGACGACACATATTAGAAACAAAAGAAAAATAATGGTAATCCAAAATTTTTTTGAGTTTGAAAAATGCAAAAATAGTTTTATAAAAGACAAGTCTGACCTACAATGTTGCCCATAAGCAATAACAATAAAGAAATAAAAAGTATAATAACTTACAGAAGATCCTGGATGCCCTCTGAGGCCTTCTGCACCTCTTGACCCCTTTTCGCCCTGATCTCCCTAGAATTAAAAAAAATCAGAATTATTCAGGTAGCACTATCTAATACTAATTTCAAACTATTAATTAACATTCAGATTATTTAAATTTGTTGCTTTTATCTTTAATAAAAGCTGTAGCAAAGATTTAAGTCGATTGATTGGAGTCATTCAATGTGAAATTAACCATTTTGTTTTTAATGAGTATCCTAATTTTTAAATCAGCTCAATTTTGATACCTTAGTTCGACCAACTTAATTAACGGAATAATATCCGTTGTTTGAATCAACAGCATTGATACATTTATTGACAATCAACAGCTTTGATTGATTTGAATGAATTGAAAGAATCATACTCTAGCTGTTAGTTCAACTGAAATATTGTACTCCATTAATTTGAATCAACGTGATATAATATGTTCTTTATAATTAGCTTATATAAAACAGTATAAGTTTCAATTAGCTCAGAACTAGTTGATTCGTATCAGCTGATAAAAATATAATCTGCTGGCATATTTTTATTGTACCTTTGAACAAAGATTCTTAAGTCGATCTGATTAAGTTTAATTATTCTGTTATGAAACAGACTGTTATTCGTTCTTTTGATAGGTTGAATTGACACAAGTCACATAAACTACGCATATATAATAAATAGATTCCAATCTTTAATTCAAGTAATTAATTCAAATAAGTTGATGCATTTTTTTGATTCGAAAGAATTCAAGAAATCTAATTTGTTATTGTTGAGTTAATCGAATCAAATATGCTAGTTGTGTCTGATCTGTTGATTTTATATAAATTATTTATTTTAATAACATAAATTAAATAATATAAATGATATAAATTGGCCTTTAAATCAACACTTAGCTTAATTTGTTGGTTAGTAGACCGTAAAATGATTCATTTGCTTTAACTATGTCTGTAGATTTACCTCAAACTCCATTATCTAGTCTCCGTAATGAAATATAAATTAAATCTAATACGGAAAAATATTTTAAGACCTTTGATTATTGTTTTATAACTATGAGTTGCACTATATTTATTTTTCAAAACATTGTGAAATAAATTATGGTGAAATATAATTTACAGACAAATTTTAAGAAATTCAATTTGTCCGCGTCATTTCAGAATATTATTTGTGCTAAACCTGTTATGATATTCCCAAATCGGAAATATTTTTCTTAACTTCCTGTCTACGAAATATCGAATATAGTCATTAGAGAAAATAGAGACCAATGGAAGAACGCGCTCTTGATGATTTAGTGTAGACGATAATCTAATATTCTATGCAGCGCCACACCTAAGAACGTGTCGAAAATTAGTTTCATATATGGACAAAGAATCAAGGTTAGTCTATTTTGGAAGCACTGACAATTTCTTTTTCAATTTTTATTTTACTTGTTCTGAGATTTCGTATATTTTTATTTCACTTGTTCTCCGTACCTTGGGTCCGGGCTTTCCAAATGGTCCTGGTTTTCCTGGAATTCCTGCCTCTCCCTAAAGCAAAATAAAGGAAATATTATCGGTGGTGAATTAGCTCTGAAAATCATTAAAAATATTTTCTTTGTTTATTGAAGAAGATAATGCTTTGATCAAATTTACTCACGGGCAATCCATCTGGACCACGTGGACCTGCTTCACCTTTTATTCCTCTTGGACCCTTGAATTATTAAAAAAATTAGTAAACAATTTTATATAATTAAACTATATTTACTTTTAAAAAGAAATTAAATTTGTCTTGCTATTCTGGATGTGACTAGTTAAATAAGTTTTAAAATATAAAAAAAAAATGAAGAAAATATTTTCATGGCACAAAAGAAATACTCCTATTTAAGCATGCTTCTTCTTTTATACTGTGCTTGAGCATGTAAAATGTAATTTTTTTACTTAAATTTGTAGAGAATCGTATTTAAAAACTAATAAAAAAAATCCGGTTTGAATATTTTAAAAAGTTTAAAAAGTTTAAAACAATTTTCCAAGTTGTTTTCGTACTCTTTAAAACAAATCTCAAAATGATAAGGGGTTTTCCATTAATTTCATTTTCCACTGTCAAACAAGATTTATTTAAAATGACACCGGCATTCCTGGGGATCATCCCCCATAAAAGTAACTTTCCGTTACCATTGTTTTCTTTCCTTATACAGTAATATTTCGGTGCATGAATATTTATTGTAAAGTACACTATCTACCAATAAGTATTTGGACACCTATGCAAATGACTATATCTGCGGTCCTGAGATACGTCACGTCCTCCGCCGGTATATATCGTGTATGGAACAACATCGGCATTAGTCCCATGCAAGATACCTACTACACTATTTTGGATGACAATGTGCTTCCTACGTTGTGGCAGTTTTACGGGATGGACTCTTGCTACTTCCAGGACGACACTGCCAGCTGTCATGTTGCGAGGGTCACCAAGGCTTGGTATGGTGTCAATGGGGTTAATTGAATGGACTGGCCTGCCCAGAGCCCAGACCTGAACCCTATCGAGAACCTCTGAGACGAGTAGGATCACCGAATTAAGGGGTGTACGACCCGTCTAAAATCGGTGAAGGAACTTGCATGTCTTTCTCCAAGCCGGGTGGAAGAAAATACCACTAGCCGTCACACAAGGACTTGTGGAAAATATGACCCCGGAGGGTTCACTCTGTGATTGCCTCTCAAGCAGGCTCTACCAACTATTTATTATGAATAAAGTTTTACTTTATTCATAATAAATAGAAAGAAAATGCTTTACTTTTCAATCACACGTGTCCAAATACTTATTGGTGGATAGTGTATTATCATTTGGTAGTTAGTTTTGAAACCTCATTAGAAGAAACCCCTTAGTTAAAACCTCCTTTGAAGAAACCCCTTAGTTGAAACAAACTCCCCTAATCAATTCGAGTTTCTTTTAAAAAGTACAAAAACTACTTAGAAAATTGCTTGAAACATTTAAAATTTTTAAGATATTTAAATCAGTCTTTTTTCATTATATGTCTAATGCATTTAATTACAAAATTTTAAACAAAAAAAAAAATTGGTAAAATTTTTCGCACACTCTCAGTGTATAAGAACTGCTTTAATTACTTATTTATTAAACAGTTTTAAACAAGTATTTTTCGAATTTTAAGGAAAATTTTTTTTAATTAATTAATCTAAAAATTTGCTTAATTTTATTGAAAATTTTAAATTTTAAATTTGCGGTAAAAAATCGCTAGATAAAAATTTTGTTTTTTTATAAAAATGTCTATATTTCCATTCATAATTACGCTAAAGTTACGAAATTTTGTGCAAATAGTAACCAAAATAATTGTCACAAGTTACAAATTTATTGCTATATTTTATAGCATAATGTGTTCAAAAACACTATTTTCCGTCTGTAATTTAATGTAGGCCTCTCAAATCTCTAAAAAGTTTTCAACTTCATAGAAAAGTATGCGAAATCGCATGATCTAACCACTTCTGAAGGTATAAAATGATTTAAGTATTTCTTGAGAAATATGAAAAAATATATATTCGCAAAAAAATTTTTTTTCCATTATTTTGTCCAACCATTATCCTTATATTATCCTTATTTTATAACTGGTGTTGAAGTTGAATAGCAGGCTATCAATGTTCAACTCTGTAGTCTTATAATTTTGAATCCAATTCAGAAGACACGGGAACTCCCGGCTCAAACATTGGGACAAAAAATGGCTTTTGTGGCGGACTCTAGTGAATTTGATTGAACTAACTCACATTTGTGTTACAAGGAGAGGAAAACCACGAAAAACTGCCATGGTCAGCCTGACGAGAAGGAGAAACTGATCCATAATCCACCAGCGGGGAAAACTGAGAGGATATCTTCCGTCAGCACTGTGGTCAGAGCGAGTCGCAGGAGCAGAATTTGTGTCAACCAGTCGCAGCTGGGACTCGAACCTTGTTGAACCTATTTGAGAGGCGAATACTCTATCCTTTGAAGAACCGCGGAAAATCCGCGCGCGAAAAAATTTTCATAACCGTCGTTGAACAGCTGACCCAATTTTGAGTTTACGACTACCAATGTTGTACTCCGTAGCCCTGTCATTTTGAAACCAATCCAGAAGACAAGTGAACTCCTGGATTAAGTGTTGACAGAAATTTGATTTTGTGGAAATCTTTTTGATGGAGCTAACCGACATTTGCGTTACATAGAGGAGAAAGTCACGAAATACTTCTATGATTGGTCTGGTGGCAAGGGGACTCTAAACCATGATCCGTCTACTATACTGAGGATATTTTACTTCAGCACAGTGAGATTCAGCAAACACAAAAAGGGAAAATGATTCAACTTTTCCCCTAAGAGGGAAAACATACAGAACTGTTTTTATTCTTACTGTAGTGGTAGTATTTTAGGTGTGCCCAAGGTGATGTTGACATGAAAATATTTATGTCTGATATGTTTACTTTGTTACTTTATTATTTAATTAAATTTTATTGTTAATATTTCTCACCCGTTTAATTATTATTATACCAAAACCCTCACTCACACATTAAAAACCTTATTAGCACTGTGGTCGATGCGAGCCGGTGATAAATTCAAACCCGGGCTACCTAGTCGGGAGGCGAGAGCTCTATTCCCTGAGCCACCGTGGCTCTTCCATAAAATATTTTAAAATTAAAGTGACAAATGTTTAAAAAAATTTAAACAGAGGGTTAACACTAAAGTATTCAAAGTTAATATCAGAAACAAATAATGCCAATTAAAAATTTAATGCATAACTGTAGACAAAACATAAAGCTAACCTTGAAATTTTAACCGTTGCATAACGTTGAAAATATTAACAACTTTAAAGCCTCAAAACATTAACTACCAATAATGAATTCCTACAAATAATCTTAATAATTAGTGTTTAAATATTTCCGGGTTTTATTAAGTTTTACCGCTGTTGTTGGCATTTTCAAATACAATGTTCTTGAATAACATATTAATCTCTTTTTACGAAACAAAGTTATATTCGTATTTCAGCGCTTTTGTGCAATTTAATTAGCGTTAGTTTAAATGTCAGAGAACTGGGTAATAAAACCTCAAAGAAAGGCAGACTTTCAAAGTAATTTATTTCATTAGGAAATTCTCACTTACCTCAGCTCCTTCTATGCCCTGGGCACCTTGAGGACCCGGTGGTCCCTAAGTAAAGACAAAAGAAGAGAATTTACGAACCGTAGATGAATATCTTCAATTTGATTAATACATTATATTTCCTTAAATAATTCAAAAGTAAGTCAAATTATGATTGGATGCGATTGAGCGCTTTAAATACTTTGGTTTTCCTTCATTATTTAAGTAGAATTATTTTTTTTTGTTAATAACAATAGCAACAAAATATCTAGTATTTTATATATATATATA